ATATAATCCTAAATAAGTTTCAGTGAACTCGTATTGCTAATATCTACCTTTAATCTCAATGGATTCCCGACAATGACTCCCTGGTTCACTCAGAATGAAAACTAAAGTCCTTACAATGACACTTCAAGCTCCACAAACTGTGGTCCTGTTACCTGTCTGGCCTCCTCCCCTTCTGCTCTCCCTTTGCTCACCTTCCTCCACCGTGCTGGCCACCACCAGACACACTCCCACCCAGAGCCTTTACACCGGCTGTTTCTTCCACCTGAACACTTTCTCCTGACATCAGCTTGGCAACTCCCTCAGCTTGGCAAGACTCTGCTCAAATGCCACCTTCCCAACAAGTCCTATGCTGAGCCCCCTTTTTAAAACCTGCACCCCTCCATCACTCTGAACTCTCGGGATCCATATCCTGCTCTATTTTTTTTCCTATTTCCATAGCACTCAATCACCTCCAACAAATATATAATTAGTTAATTTATTATGTCCATTGTTTATTTTCTCTCCCCCTTTGCTAGGATGTGACTTCCATCAGCGTAGGAAACTTTGTCTTTTTTATTTATTGGTACATCCCAAGCATGCAGAATAGTGCTTGGCACATAGTAGGTACTCAGTAAACACTTACTGAATTGAACAAAATGTCTTGAAGCTTTGAGATAACAATATGCTTCCTAATATAGAGGACATATTGTTCGTCCAAACATTGGTAAGGCATCTACTATGTGCTAGATGTGGATAACATGGACACGATCCCTGTCCTCAAGGAGGTCCCAGGCTAGTGTGGAGGCAATTACCGGCCAGAGTGTTGGGCTCTCTGACACAAGCATGCACTGTGGCTCTAGGGTCGCAGAGAAGGGGGTTTGTGTGAATGGGCAGGAAGATAAGCAAGGGCACAATGCTGAAGCTGACTTTTCATATAGAAAGGGAGCTACCTAGACAACAAAGGGAATTGTAATTGGGTAATGTATAATTGGGTTGTGTATTTTTTGTCAGGATCATAATGCAATTGTTATATGCATGTGTGTATATTTATATTTATATAGTTCTCATTTAAAATATCCATTGATTATGTGTTTATAAAGTAAGTTTTCTATATTCAATTAAAAAAAACCTCTGGCTTTATTTTTTTCTAGTTGATTCACTCATTCCTTCGAGGAACAATCATTAAGTGATTATAATGTATCAGGCATTGTAGCTAGATGCTGTGGATACATAGAGGAACAGAAACACGTTCCCGGCCCTGAAGAAGACTTTAGTAGTGCCGTAGGCAGACGTGTGAAAAACTAAGAACATGGAAGTGTTACATGTAGTAGGAGAGAAGAATTTAGGGCAATGGTCCCGAACTGCAGGTCAGATGTAGCCCACATAATTGTGTGTTCAGTTCAACAGTGTTTTTTAAAACTTTGAATGGTTTTTTACAAATTAATCCTGATTTCTGGCTTGTCTTAAAAGAAAAATCAAAAGACCTGGCAACTCTGAGCCTGAGATCCAAAATGGCAACAGTTGAACACAGCTGAGTCAGAACCAGCCCTTTCAGAGGGAACAAGAGGAGGGGGAAGGAGCACGGAAGGCAGAGGGCCCCTGAATGTGGAGGGGCCTGGAACGCAGGAAGTGTTGCACATTCCAGGCAGAAGGAATATTTTATTTACGGTCCATACTTCACTAAGCAACCAACCATATACAAACCCATGCAAATGTCAACAATTCCATCCCCGTTTTGCCCGGGACAGTGTTCAGAAATGTCTGTGACATGAACAAGAACATGATCAAAGAATTTTACCTCTGGAGGAGATTATTTCATAGGTCATTTTCCAAGTGAAGAAGCGGTTGTCTAGAGGGATTGAGTAATGTGCCCAGGGCAGTGCTAACAGAAGCCTGTAGCTGTTAATGGATTGTACTAAAGGCCTGAGGGAACAGAGAGAAATTGCAACATAGAACAGTATAGCGGGGCATCTGTTGTTTTCCTCACCCAGCACCCATTCTTCCTCCCTCTGGAAACAGTACCCTTATTTTGCTCCGGGGAGCCATCACACATCCTTCTTCCACGTGGTGCTGGTGGAACTGAGTCCACCCGGCTTCCTGGATGGCATGTGACCCAAGCCTGGCCACCAACACCCATCCTCCTGGAGCTCTTGAGAAAGGGGCATAATCCTTCCACTGGGGGTTGCTGAGAAGCAATGCAATTCTGAATGATGCTATTAGAACCTAAGCTAAGACAGCATGATGTAAAGAAAACAATGATAAGCTACAGTTCCTTGGGTAAATCGCTTAACTGTTCTGAACCTCAGTTACCACAACTGTAAGTGAAAATAACAATCCCTTACCTCAAAGGGCTGTAAAGAAATAAAGTCTGTAAAATGCCTGGCACACAGTAGGAGCTCATTAATGTTGGCATCTTTTCTTTCCCTTCCACATAATGTCAGATGGATGTAGCATTACTGTAATTAAAATGTAAGTAGTGCATTGGCAGACGTTCCTTACAACATATTGAGAACAGCTTTTTCAGTAGCTTCCTTATGTGATTTCAGGGAACTGGGGAGGGAAAATAAAATAAAATGCAGCTTGTTTTCCTGGAACAATTCAAGCCATAGCCAATGCGTGCCAAGTGTAGCCCCTAAGTCTATGTCTGCATTTATCTATTATCTCACCTCTGCATAGATAAAGTGGTTTTCCTCCCCGCTCACTGGCCATTTTATTTTTAAAATGGGAACTCTTGAATCCCTGGCAATCACTTAGCTGACGGTTTGGATCATAATGTAACAATAACATTAGTGAGCAGTTGTGTGACAGTTCCTGCTTTTAAAGCACTTTAGAAATCTGAGCTAATTAGCATGAACGCTAATATGCCAGCTTTTTATGGATTAATATTGCAATTATACTTTGCTTTTTCAATAAAAATGCAGTAATCTTTTTTCACCAGAAATAGGGAGAAATGAAATGAATAAACTGCCTCTCCAGTGGATTCATACACAGTGCAGTTAAAATGTGAGTCAGACACTTTCTTGACTGAATGTTCCTCTAACATTTGTGAGGGTTTACAGGTATGGCACCTCTTGCAAATTCTGTTTTAGGATCAATGAAGGAAATAAAGTGTATTAATGGGGGACCGAAAAGGAATTTGTAAACCCAAGTTTCCAACCTTCAAAATACACTTTCTACTCATTTCTAGATTTAAGCACCTCAAAGAAATCAGAAAATTATCTGATTATGATTTACTCTTAAACCAAATGAGAAAATACCAATTCATGTAGTATTGCAAAAGACCCTATTCCTTTTGTTGTGAATTAAAATATAATAGAGTAAGTATAGAGGAATAAAGACTTGGGTTGGAATCCCACCTCTAGTACTCAGCTATCTAACTGTAACTTTCTGAATTTTGGTTTCCTCACCTCTAAAATGTGGGATGGGGTGGGGTGATAATACTTAGTTTGCATGATTCTTGGGAGCTCCAAAAGGGATTCTACCTTATACAATATCCAGGATATGACAGGTGATCATATTAGCCCTGACCCGTCCTCTCTGTTTGTAATTCATTTTCCTCCCTTTCTGCTCTAAAATTATTCTGGCATTCATTCAGTTTCAGTTTATGGAAAGCAGAGCACCATCATGAATTAAAATTTTTGTTAGGTATTATAAATAACTAAATTTAAAGGGACTAGGAATAATTATGAAAGTTCATTTTGGTGGGAAAAATCTAAACATATGATCACTTGAAAACTCCTTTGAACATACTATGAGTCTATGGCCATACCACCCTGAACGCGTCTGAATATACTATGAAATTGTATAGATATCTCAGCTAAATTTCGTCATTTTGTCCTCTGTTCTTTGTATAATTTAGCAAAAAGTGATGTGAGGAGGTTTAACACTGGAAAGACTGCCTGAGACAGTTAGAAGCCTGTATGAGCACACTTAAATTGTTTCATTCATTCATCAGTTCAACATTTATTGAGCACCTATGATGTGTCAGACACCATGCTGAATGTTGCTGGTATAAGGACTAGTATAAGGACTAGCAGATAGAGCCTTTGTCCTTAAAGAATTCACAGTCTCATGGTGGAGGCAGACAAGTGAATGAACAGTTGCAATAATGTGAGCAATAAATGCTAGTATATGCTACTCAAGGCCAATATCTAATTTCTTGAGAAGTCATAAATTCTGAGAGAAATGGTGTTTATCCTGCCAACACGATTTGTAGAGGGTGAGCACTCAGTATGGGGTCAAAAGACCTGGATTCTGGTCCCAGTTCTTTGACTACTATATATCCTTTGATAGTCATTTCAGTTTTCTGAGCCTCAGTTTCCTCATCTGTAAAGTGTGACTGATGACAACAGTCCTCACTGGGTTATCGTAAAGATCAAAGGTCATGAGAGTCAATTTTTAATTAACTGCAAAGATCTCCTAAAGTAAGTTACATACTTAAATGTTTTTTGAATTTTAAAATAGAAGTTGTTTAGTACTTCACATAAATCGCTGAATGATCCTTTTCCTTAAAACACGAAGGAAGGAAGGAAGGAGGAAAAAAGGAAGGAAGGGAGAGAGAAAGAAACAAAGAAAGAAAGAAAAATAGAAAGAAAGAAAGAAAGAAAGAAAGAAAGAAAGAAAGAAAGAAAGAAAGAAAGAAAAAGAAAGAGAAAAAGAAAATCAGCCACCTTTCAGTCCAAAGCAGGTCTGGCTTTGATCTTTTCAACACTCCAGGAAGATATTTACCATTATCCCCATTTTATCAATGAGAGAAGTGAAGAGCCAAGAATCTGTCCAAGAGCACTATCTCTTCAAAGCCCAAGCCCGGGAAACCTCCCAAGGTCTTTACATACCAACAAAAGGCCAAAGCACCAAGCCTCAGAAGACGGCGGTGATCTTTTCTCGGAAAGCCCCGCCTCCCCCTCGCGGAAGGGGCTGGACAAGGCTTCAACTCCGCCCCGTGACTCATGCGACCCCGCCCCCAAGTCTTCCACCTCTCGCGGGATCTCTCGGGAGGACGGATGGGATTAGGTCCCATCATGGCGGCAGAAGAAGCGGATGTGGATATCGAAGGGGACGTGGTGCCAGCCGCGGCACAGCCAGGGTGAGGCGTAGAGACCGAGTCTCGCAGGGATGGGGAGGAGCGCGGGTGCGAGGAGAGTACCTGGGAAAGGCTGCGGGTTCAGCAAGGAACAGGGGAGAGGAAGACGATCCGCTGGGCCAGGGTCTCCTGGTGGCCGGGGAGGTGCCGCGCCCATCCTGCTTGTAAGCTCCTCCTGAGCCCAGGGGGCGTAGGTACCCGAGGCTAGTGTCGGATGGCTGTTTCACCTTTTACCGGGATGTTCTGAGGGCGCCGACTTCGCCGAGCACATGGCACTCTATCCAACAATTTAGATTCCTTCTTCCATGATCTCCATCCCAGTATCCCCCCTCCGTTTGCCCCCTCCGGACAGTAACTAGAACAAGAGCGGCCTCTGAACGGGACCTGAGCTCAGGGATCCTTGTTCCATCGCTTGTCAGCCGTGTGACCTTGGGCGTGTCGTTTCATCCCTGCTGACAGGTTTCTTATTCCACATGGGGTTAGTTGTGAAAAACTTCCTGAGAGTCAGCTTGACTTAAAGGAAAGGGAGAGGACTTGAGAGTTGGACAGCTCTGGGTTCTCCAGCATTGGCCGGCCTTGTCCGTTACTTAACGCAATGTGACCTTGGATCAGACAGGTAACTTGCCTGAGCTTCAGACCGCTCATAGAAAACTGACGGTCATGGTTATTGTGAACATCAAATGAAGTAATGATGGGATGTGCTATAGCATACAGTAGGAGCTAGGTAAATGTTTTGTTTTTCACCATTTTACCCTCGTGGAGATTATTGTGAAGACGTAGTGAGGGGTCTGCAGATTCCTGCAGAACAGGCCAGTGTGGTTTCAAGCAGCATCCTCCAGTTTGAGAGTTCTAGCCCTTTGCTTGCTTTCCAAGTAAGAAATTGATACATACTATTTTTAAAATGTGCTTCCCCGGTCACCTTTTAGAATTGGAAGAGGCCTAGACTGGTCAGGAATCAAAAGACCTCAATTCTAAACTTAGCCAGTTATGTTGCTTATAAATATGAACAACCTCTTTAGAAGTCTGTTAGGTTGAATGAACCATGTGGAATTACCAATCTTAGACCATTTTTAACTTAACAAATGGCAATTTCATGCAGTCCAGCCTAATGTTAGGGACTCTGTAAATTATGGAGAACAGTACCCACCCTGCCCTGAGGGATTAAGATAGTGGGTTTAAAGTTCTACTGAACTCTAAAGCACTATAAAAATGTGAGGAGTAATTAAATTCATATAGTCATTCTCTCCCAGACCTTTAGACAAAGCAGTCCAAAGCTATACAGATGAGTAGGGAACTTTTATTAACAATCGTTGTTCACATTTGTGTAGATCAAGTTACCAAGTTAATCTTGACTAAGTGCTCTTACATGCATGATTTAATTTACTTTTCACAATAAGTCTATGTGTTAAGTAGGCAGGGATGCTTACCTGGAGTCCAGAGAGAAGTGAGTTGGCCTTGGAAACACAGAAGATCATCTGCGAGCATTGGCTCTGCCCCTTTTCCAAAGGTTCTTCTTTATTTTTCTGATCGTGTTTAATTTTTTTTTTTTTGCCTTCTTTTTCTTTCCTTTCTCTTACTGTTGTACTCAAGCCTTAGGTCTACAGGTGATACCTATGATCATCTAAGACTCAGGCAAGCTGGATTACAAAGGTTATTGGTTCCTGATGGTCAGAGCCTTTGCCTTACCCAACTCCAAGGAGCATCATTAACATATTCTGGTGAATGGTGCCCCCTGAAGTGTGTGTAGGTAGAGCTAATGATAACATCTCTGGAAACGTTGAGGATTAATTGAAAGCACACTTTTAAGTACTTGCTAAGTTCTAGGTACCAAAGTTAGAAGGTGGCATTGAAACTTTGGTTTCCCTTTCACTTCTACCGTTCCTCCTCATCTTCCTTTTCTCCTGCTTGTCCTTTAAATCAGTGTTCCCAGGGGTTTGTCATAAGACTTCTAACTACCCACACAGTCCCTGGTTATACCGTCTCTCAAGATTTAAATTTCTGTCTGTTAGGCTGGATCATATACAATTTTGCCAGTGTTCAACCATTTTTGACCATAAGAAAAATGGCAGTTTCCTAAAATTCCACCTAATAAATGCTGATGTTTTCCATATCTTTCACCAACCCAGATCTCTCTCCTGAGCTTTAGATCTGTTTATCTAATTCTCTGAATCTATCTGTTCTTGGATGTTCCACAAGCACCTCAGTCTCAGCTTATAAACTTCCCACCACACCTGCCATCTGCCTTCAAGTTCCCTAGTTCAATAGATGGCACCATCCGCCCTGTAACTCAAGGCACAGATAGACACTTTATCCCTTTTCCTTACCTCTCTCCTTCCACCCCTTCTATAAGTTGCTAAGGTCTATTGATTCTACGTATCCTCTCAAATGTATTCCCTTCTACCTGTTCACACTGCTTGTTCCCTGGGTCTAAGTTACTGTCACCTCTCTAGTATTTATATAATCACTTCCTCTTAACTGCTCCTATCTCTTTGGCTCCCTTCTATTCTTTACTGAAGTTAGACCAGCCTTTCTTACATCCAAATCTCATCATGTTATTCCCTTCAATCCCCGATTTGCTTTATGAGAAAATCCTCATTCCTCCTACAGACCTGGATGATCCATGCCCCACCTACCTTGTTCATTTAATCATTAAACAAATGCTGATGAGCACCTTTTCTATGCCAAGGCCTGGGTATATAGCAGTTATCAAACTAACTCCTTGCTCTCATAGAACTAACATTCTTATTGGGTAAGACACAGTAAAACTTACAATGGGCCAGGTGGGGGTAAGTGGAAAAAGATGAAGGGAAAGTGGATGGCATGTTAGCTTTATCTTGGAAAAGTGGCTCTAAAACTACAGGACTTCAGAGGTCAGCATGGATATAGTGGAAGGACTGGATTTGAAAAGTGAGGAAGCCACAGAATTGGCAACCAATGGAATGTACATTGTGAGGAAAATAAGGGCAGCCTCAGATTTCTGGCTTGGGCAGCTAGGGGGATGCATATCCTTTGTCTGAGATAGGGAACAATGGAAGAGTAGCAGATTTGAGAGGAATTTCTCAGCTAAGGTTTAAACATGTTAATTTATGCTACCTGTGGAGATTCAGGTAGGTGTCCAGATGCATACACCAGAGGTGTGGAAGTTGCTAATCCTTGTTGAGGAACACTATAAAAAGACATTAAACCTGAAGTGAGAGGTGCCCAGGTGGCTCAGTCAGTTAAGTGTCTGCCTTCTGATCTTGGGGTCCTGGAATCAAGACCCATGTCCGGCTCTCTGCTCAGCTGGGAGTCAGCCTCTCCCTCCTCTCCCTCTGTGTTCCCGGCCCCACTCAAGTAAATAAATAAAATCTTAAAACAAAAAACACCTGAAGTGATACTAGTCTCCCCTCCTGCACCCTTGGCAGACCTCTCCATAAGCAAAGGTTTCCCTCTGTCGATACAAGTCTCAGAATCCTTTATTTAGCATTCCTGGCAGCCTCTCCCAAATCAGAGTTAACACCTGAATTATAAAACCTTTTTGCCATCAGCAGCTGAGGGAAATTACTGCTTTTAGTTTATTGTAGATAGTCCACAATTTATTATAACCACTGTAGAACTAATTGAAGATTCAAAAGTATAAACCTTTTTGCAGTCTAAGAGGTACAAAATTCTTACCACTAGACTAGGTCTGGGAAAAGTCAGTGATTTTCTAGGAAACTTTATAACTTCAAGACATAAAAAAGCAAATATTGAATTTAACTATATCATTAATTCGGCCTTCCAAAACTTAACTATTCAGCTTTTTTATGTGAGTAGTGAGCAACGTGACTTTAGAGAGTTTTTATTAGTTCAGTGAAAAGAGTGAGAATTAACAAAGTTTAATCCCCCATGGACATAGAAAAGGCCCCAAATAACCCAAGTTAATTTTTTTATTATACAAGTTGTTATTAAAACATCAGATTTTCTTTTTACTTTACTGTCGAGTGTTTTCTATTTTGACTCTTCGATCTATTTTTTTTTTTTTCATTTTGAGGGCAGTGCTGTTATTGATGGCTTTTATGCTTTAGATATAACTAAAAGAATTGATTGTAAAGTGGAATTCCTATATACGTATGTATGCTCATTAAAAAAACTCTGAGGTGTTGGTTCATGGCCGTAGAGCATGTGTGGTTGCTGCTTTGGGGTACTTTTTTCCTCATGAAGTTGTTTATTCTTGGGGAACAAAAGAAGTGAACAGCCTGGCTGGTTGCAGTTGAGATGGGGTGAGCTAAAAAGGGTGGCTTAAAGCTAGTCTATATTCCATAGGTTAAAGAAATAGAGTAGGCCTTTCTGCAATTTTAAGTCTGTTAAGGGAAGAAGGAGATGAAACATTTGCTTAACATCCATACCCTGCCAGTTCCTGTGTTGTGTAAATGATATTTATTAATTGGTATAATGTCACTTTTTACCCATTTTCTTGATTATTACAGAAGTGATGAAAATACAGCATCTGTTTTACAAGATCACTATCTTGATTCATCGTGGAGAAGTGAGAATGGTCTTATTGTAAGTATTTTATGAAAATATCAGGTGCATAAGCTCTTACTCATTGCCTGGAGTACCTCTTTTTTACTTGGTGCTAGTTCTCAGCAGTTACAGAGGTAATATACTGGAAACAGTTTTCTTACTTTAAAAATAAAAGAAACTTATTCTTATTTCTTTTGACTTTGAAGTGGTCTGTTGGGAAACGGCTCTGGAGCCAGCTAGATTTAGGTACAAATCCTTGCTCTACGACTTACCAGATTTGTGAACCTTTGTTTCTTCATCTAAAAGACGGGGATCATTGCAGGGTCCATTTCTTCCATTTAGCAGTTATTTATTGAATTCTTACTGTGTGTCAGATGCTGGACCCGGTTTTGAGGGATACAGCTACAATCGAGACAGACATAGTCTTGCTCTCAAGTTGCTTATATGTTAAAAGGGAGTCAGGTAGACAAATTAAGTATAGACCATGAAGAACCCAAGATGCTGGCTGAGAGTAACAGGGTGGGGAACCTATTTTAGATAAAGTTGTCATTGAGAGAAATAGAAGGTGACAGTTCAGTTGAAAAGTAATAGAGAGGAGTAGATATGTGAAAAGCTGAGGAAAAACATTCTAGGCAGAAGGAATAGCAGCACAAAGGCTGTGTTTGAAAGCCAGTGTCTAGAATATAGTGGGAAAGGGGGGAGTGGCAGCTGTGACAGGGTTGGAGAGGCAGGCCAGAGCTCTGTCATGCTTGTATGAAGCAAGAGCAGAATCAAAGAGTCCAGTTAGGAAACATTTGTGGTAATCTAAGCAAGAGTTGGTGGTAGATTGGCCTGAGATTGTGGCAGAGATGGATAGATTTTAATTATATTTTGGATGTAGAATTGCTTGGTAGATTGGATATAGGATTAAGAAAAAAGGGAGGAATCCAGATGATTCCTAGGTTTCTAGGTGGAATAACTAGGTGACTCATAATGCTATTTACAAAGGTGGAAGCACAGGGAGAAACAGGTGAAGGTATGTGTTAGTGAGTTTTGAATATGTTAACTTTGAGAAGCCTACTGGATATCCAAGTGGACATGGGGGAGTATGTAACAGTCTAGATAGAGCTTAGAGAAGAGACCTGAGCTGAAAATTTTTAAGTTTTGAGAGTTGAAAATGAGTATGATCATTTAAGGAGAGATTGTGGCTTAAAGGAAAAAAGAAGTGTGGTGAGTTTTGGAAATAGGTGAAATATCTAGCAACATGCTTGCTCTCTGATAGGTCTCATACATGCCAGCCATTATGACTTTATCGTGGGTAGGAGCCTGAGCCTTGGAATCCAGCGGTCTTGTGTGTCAAGTCTCTCCTCCTCCCCTTGAAACACTTGCGGTGCTATGGCTGCATCGGTGAAGTAATAACCCCTGTCTCACAGTGTTATCCTGGGAATCAGATATGTCTGGGCATAGTAAATGGTAGCTTTATTATTCATAATCATTGTATCATGTATTTCACTTGATAAAACATAGAAGATAATTTCAAAAAGCAGTAAATAAAAAGAAAAATATATTCTTTTTTAATAGCCTTGGACTCTGGATAGCACCATCAGTGAAGAGAACAGAGCTGTCATTGAGAAGATGTTGTTGGAAGAAGAGTATCCTTTAATGATTATGAGGAAAGTAAAGATTTCAGGGTGAAAAATCTATTAAGTGCAAGACTTAGAAAAGAGATCAGTGTTATTACTAGATGGACCTTATTTGGCCCCAGACTGCAATTACATAATGTGTTAGCTACCTATGAAAAAAGCAGCGTTTTATTCCTCTGTTTCTGTTTTACTGCACAGTCTAAGATCTAACTCAATACGTTTGAGTTTCTTTTTTCAACCACCTCTATACTGTCTGAATGTTGAGTAGAAATTATAGAATGTTTTGAATCAGTGAGAACCTTTAGTCCATATCCAAGATCATGTAGTCTGAGCCTCCATCTACAGTTATAGAAGCTAAATCCCAGAGATGGTTAATTTACCTAGGGACACAATTTATCCACAGTTTAGTCACTAGCTTCTTGTCCTTGTTTCTTTCATCTGTTCGATGATGGCAACTTAACTTCTTTGGGATTCCATTTTCTTGTATATAAAATGAAAGGATTGAACAAAATGATTTCTGATTCTATGATTTTTTTAAAGATTATTTTTTTTTAAAGATTTTATTTATTTATTTGAGAGCGAGAATGAGAGAGAGAGAGCATGAGAGGGGGGAGGGTCAAAGGGAGAAGCAGACTCCCTGCTGAGCAGGGAGCCCGATGCGGGACTCGATCCCGGGACTCCAGGATCATGACCTGAGCCGAAGGCAGTCGCTTAACCAACTGAGCCACCCAGGCGCCCTTTTTTAAAGATTATTAATAATAGTCTAATAAATAGTGGTTTATTTTAGCTCTCATCTGTATTTTATGGCTCTCTACCTCCTTTTTAAGCCAGAATTTCTCTGGTCCCTTTATTCCCAGTTATTGCTATGTTGATTTCAGAGTGTCTGTGTACCTTTAATTGTCATAGGTTAACTTTTTAAAGGCTTTCTTACTCTCTTTCCCCAGACATACAGCTATAGCCTGCTTTTCGGTAGAAAAATAGTACAAGGCTCATATATCATTTAAAATTTTCTGGTAGCCACATTTAAAACAGGTGGAATTAATTTTAATAAGATATTTTATTTAACCCAGTATATTTAAAATAATATTTCAACATTTAATCGATAGACATTATTGAGGTATTTTACATTCTTTGTTTACATGTGGTATTGGTGAATACATTGAACAGTGCAAGTCTCAACTAATGAACTACTACTTAAGTAGTAACGGGTTCACTTCCAGATTTAGAAGCAGAAATAATGAAGTAAGAGCTTTGTGAGCTCTTAGAGGACAGGGATCATTTCTTGTATCTTTGTCCTCAGCTCCTCGTACCTAGCATATTATCTGACATACACAATATATAGTCAATATTTGTTAAGGGAAGAACATGTCAGACTAATTAAAGAGTGCTGCAGTAGGCTAGTTTTAAGAAGTTGCAGAGGGAAGCTCCATGGTAGATTCGACCTGAGTTATTTGTATTAATGTAGGGAACACCCTCAACTCTTTCTATTACCTTTAGAACTAGGAAAACATACTCCCCAGTTCATCCTGGACAGCCAAATTCATCTATTACATTCCCCATGTTTTAGGGAAAATGATTTAAATGAAACACAGACTATTTCTTTTAACCTCTTCTAGTAGGGAATATAGGAAAAGCTAACATTTATGTAGCACACATTTTGTGCAGGTGCCGTGTTCATGTGATTTCACCTGTAATATTTAATCCATATAACAGCCATGTGAGGTATAAATATTTTTATCGTAATTTTTGCAGATCTGGAAAAGGTTTTAAGAAGAATTAGTTTAGGATTCAAGTTTGATTTTCATGGATGTGAGTGCCTACTTAATGTAAGTGACATAAAAATGATAGGATTTTATCATTATTTTAAAAAGTTTCTTTAATAATTATACAGGTACTACTTATCTAAAAAATCACTTCCAGAAAAATTCTGGCTTGATCAAAAGGAAGATGATAAAAAATACATGAAGAGGTAAAATCAGTTTTTAATACTTTTAAAAGTCTGAACTATATTTTTAAAAACTTGTTCACAAGCTTCCTTATTTTCTTTTTCATGTGGTGCAGTCTACAGAAAACAGCAAAAATCATGTATGTACTTATATGTTTTATATTTTAAAATTATAGGAGAATTAAAAAATTATAGTTGGCCTGTGGAAAAACTCTGGACCTTGGGTTGTACAAAAATATAAAATCAAAATTTCTTATACAGTTGTTGGAATGCCACAAGATAATTTTAGGACATTATTTATATGTCAGAATTTCTTTTATGGTCCTATATAAGCTATTCCATCGGATTATGGAAAAGGTGGCTTCCTAAGGATTTGTGGGGAAATTTTTTAAAACTGCTATCTAATATATCAGGAATTGGCTTGATTTCTATTACATTGTCAGTTAATTTTCACTCGTTTCAAACTAATTTTAATTTGTGGCTTTCAAAAATTATCTAGCGAAATCAAGTATTAACTATTTTATAAATATCCTTTCCCTATAATTGAAGAAAATTTGATGTTATTTAGTGTTTATAAACTTTCATGTTTATGATCCCTCTAAGGGTAGACTTACAGATTTACCATTGCCAAGGGTTTGAGCAGTGGGCAGACTTTGGCTTTTGCATTTTGCTGAATAAATAACAACAAACAAGTTAATAGAAGATTAATGGTTTGCTTGAATTAAATTAATGAGCTTCATCACTATTTTAATTTCATAAGGACTGCATTTCAAAAGTAATAAACATAATGCCATAGTTTCTTTACTTCTTTTTTGGCTTGATATTTACATAGATTATACAGAAGAATCAAAAAGATAATATTTCTGGAGCCAACTTAAACACTTAACATGCCTTTCAGGATTTGGAAGTGTATTAACATCTGCCACGTTGTGTCCAGTCTAAGGAAGCCTATTTGTTTGTTATCGCATTGACTTCCTTTGATGTCTTTTAGTGTCATCTTCACTCAGACCAAGGATTATGTCTTTTGGGGCTCCTATCATCCTGAGCTAGAGAAGTATACAAGACAGGGTAAATCTGTCCCCCAGGTAGAGGCTGCAGACTTTTCTTCTTTTTTAACTCTTAGACTCACAGTATTGAATTTAGCCTATGGCTATCTATAACCTTTAGCTGCATAAATACGGAATGTTCCATTTCAGACTTTTTTTTTGCAATTCCTTTTTTTCCCCTCAGGGCACACTCTCCTACAAAACCAGCCAGTTACTCAGTAAAGTGGAAGATAGAAGAAAAAGAGCTGTTTGAACAAGGGCTGGTAAATAGAGCAATTTTTAATTTATAGTAAAATAATTCTAGAAGCCAGTATTGATAGAATTATAAGGTTAATTTGTGGAGACCAGAAATTTCTTTTAATGATCACATCTTTAGTTTTTCTGTAGTGCTGATGTTTGTAGTACAAGAGAATTCCTTTTAACTCATATCTAAGTTACTAAAAGATTAAAATACATTTGGATCAATATTTTAGATAATTTTCATCCCCCCCTTTTTTTGGTAATAATAAAACCCAAGATATTAAGCTCTGTCTGTATACATCAACTCCTGGATTAAAAGGCAAAATTATTTAGTTATCTGATGTTTTCTCTTGGAAAAAAAACCCAAAACAACAACAACAACAACGAAAACCCTTGATATTTGGAACTGTCTGCATAATCAGCTGAGTTCTTTTTTATTCAGGTATTTGGCATTGTGCACACAGTCTGAATATTTTTTTAGTGGATATAGTTGAAAACCAGAAACATTTCTTTTGCATGAATGTTTCACTGAGATCTATTTAAATATCCATAAGTTACATAATAGAAAAAAAAAGGTATGCCCATTTGTAATTCTGAAAATTCTCCTATTAATATGAAGAAACTTTTAAGAAAATATTCAGAATTTTTTTTTCTAATTATTAGGAGTAGGTTATATCTTTTCCTGTAAGGTACATGTTACCCAGTATTACACTAATTTTGAAATTACATATAATTTATATATTACATATAGGATATTTATATAATATTTATGTGGGTTTTATGAATGCAAATTGAAATGTCATTGTTAACATTTCTTACAGATGATGGGAAATAAAATGTATTTGTATTTTTATAGATATCGCCATGACATCTATATATTCTGTGATGTCTTTATATAAATAAACTATCTTGAAAGTTTTATCTCCTCCTCAGGTTTTTCTCCTGTACTGTTGATGTTTTTTATATTGGTATTTCATTCTGTTGCATGATTGTCATTTTTATAACCTAACTTTAATTAACCAGTCACTTATTAAAGATTGCTTACTACTTTGGTGTTTTGCCCTTTACCAAAGGCTATGTGTGTGTGTGTGTTTGTATACACACACACAAAAGTGGGTTGTGAATTTTTAGGTTATTGTTGGCACTTAAAAAGATGGGGCTACGTCTGCATGGCTCAAACTTCAAAGGGTGTTTAAAGTTATAGGTGTTAAGTCTCCCCATCATTCCGGTCTGTGCCTTCAGTTCTCTTTGCCTCAGGTAACCATTGTTATCTGTTCTCTGCATGTCCTTCCAGAGATATTTGTCCCTGTATATGCCAATATGTATTTATTTATATACATATGTAGGTATCTATATACATAAACAGATATTTTAAACCTAGAATGTTTTCCCACAAAACTAGACAGAACTGTTGGTTGTATTCCCAGCCTTTTTTTTTTAAAATTTTTTTATTTTATTATGTTAATCACCATACATTACGTCATTAGTTTTTGATGTAGTGTTCCATGATTCATTGTTTGCCTGTAACACCCAGTGCTCCATTCAATACATGCCCTCTTTTAATACCCATCACCGGGCTAACCCATGCCCCCACCCCCCTCCCCTCTAGAACCCTCAGTTTGTTTCTCAGAGGCCATAGTCTCTCATGGTTCGTCTCCCCCTCCGATTTCCCCCCCTTCATTTTTCCCTTCCTACTATCTTCTTTTTTTTTTTTGAGGTACAGGTCTGTGATTCCACAGTCTTACACAATTCATGCTCACCATAGCACATACCCTCCCCAATGTCTATCACCCAGCCACCCCATCCTTCCCACCCCCCACCACTCCAGCAACCCTCAGTTTGTTTCCTGAGATGAAGAATTCCTCATATCAGTGAGATCATATGTGTATTCCCAGCCTTTTTAACTTATTGATATATTTTACTTATACACTGAATTCTCTCAGGCTTTAGAGAAGGGAATTATCTGGTACTGAATGATGAAGGAAATTTTTTCCTTCCCTTTTGGGCATAGAGTTGTCTCTTTGCTCTACTTTGAAATTGGTGAGTGTTTTCTTCGCTCTTGTTAGTGTACCCTCTCCAGTTTTCGTAATGCTCAAGCTCCTACAATCCCAACTGGTTGTGCTCTGTCCAGATCTTTGATGTGTCCAAAAGTGCTCCATCCTATGAAGTTACTCATTTGCCTTCATCCCACAATAAATATAATTGTTCAGTAAGTTGATCTTAGCTAGGTGTTAGTTAATAACAATCTTAATTTATATTTACTAAGAATTTTCCTAGAAATGCTTTCAGTTTTAAGAAATTGTTCTCATGTCAGATATTCTCATAAATCTCAAATAAGTATATAATTATCATTTGTGTCAGGTTTTGAAGATGATTTGCCACTGTAACCTGTAAATGTCATAACCTGTCCTGTAAATCTGGCCCTGGGATCAGCTTCCCTGAGTTGTGGAGATATGGTGAAGATTTATGTATCAAATAATAGACTTGATACCTAAAAGTTCCCTTTAGCTTTAAAATTATAGTGCATTCCTTTCTGTACTTCAGAAAACACCAGCGCTCCCTCAGGGTTTCAGTTTTTTCCCCACCACAGCTTTGTCATTAGCGGGCATAAGCCATTAACAGTACCACGGTATAGGAAGGTGTTGGTTGCAGGTTGCTTCATTTGTGATTCATTCGTTCTTCGAAGTTGGTTTTCTGTGATACCTGTGTAGGGACTAAAAGTATCTGCTATGGGACAGGTAATGGATATTGTGCCAGATGGAATCTGGGTAAAAAAAGATATTTTGAAATTAGTGTCAGAATGTAATCAGTTGATTCTATAAATGGAAAATGGAACCTGCCTCTTTTTCAGGCACTTGTTTTTTTAGCTTTGGAACATCATAATGTGCAATATGAATACATACGGTTAGGAATCCATAAAAGTTGTGGATCTTCATTTAGATAGCTGTAAAAACAAAACTAATTTCTAAATCATTTTGGTCAGTTTTCAGAAGTCGAGATTCCAAAAGAGTATGGGCTTTGCTTTTAAGAGTCTTAGCTTATATATGTGGCTTCATTGTGTACTTTAGAAAATAAATAAAGATGGGTTGTTCTTTTAGTTTTTTTTTTTTTAATGTGCAGTTGCTTGGAACATTAACAAGTAAGTTAATCAAAATCAATTTCTTTTCCATTTTGATAACTAGGCTAAATTTGGCCGAAGGTGGACTAAAATTGCAAAGCTAATTGGAAGTCGCACTGTTTTACAAGTTAAGAGTTATGCCAGGCAGTACTTTAAAAATAAGGTAAGCAGGATATAAATATCCTAGTTAGTAATAATATTTGCAACAAATAAAATTAGGAAGCAAAAATCGTGCTTTAATTTGGGCATTAATGTCAATGTTCAAAGTTTTTGTAGTGAAAGTATTTTATATTCATAAAGTACTCAACACATGTTTATCCTCAAAAATCTCAAAGCATAGCTTAAGTGTTTTGAGTATTGTGATTAGAGGTCATTGTTTTCCTGGAAAATATCTTTTCTTTTTAAAGATTTGCATTGTAGCTTTTTTTGTTTTTATTACTGTTCCTTTTATTAGCAAGATGCCTATTTGTAAATTCTGAGAAGAGTTTGACTTAAAAACCATTCTTTTCAATATGTGAGTACAAGACCCAGTCCAGAAAAACAAGCCCACGAGCTCTAGAATGGTGTTTGAAAATGCACGTTGTTAGAGTGCCTGACTGGCTCAGTCGGCACAGCATGCTACTCCTGATCTTGTGGTCATGAGTTCAAGCCCCATGTTGGGCACAGAGCTTACCTCTGTCCTGGCTGCAAGAGAGGCTGGGGAAGTTTATGGATTTTACTTGGGGGTTTAGAGCTCATAGCAGAATTGACACTGGATGTTCCAAAAGCTTGGACTGGCTCCTGCTCTGACTGTTTTGTTCCTGCCCCATTCTCATGGCGGCAGCTTCCACTACACTCTCAGGACTCCACGGTCTGTGGCTCCAGCCTACTTCTCTGCTGGGCCTCCTCCTGCAGGCACCCGGGACGTCATAGTAGCCTCAGAACTTCTGTCCGAAGATTTGCATTGTAGCTTTTAGGAATGATTAGAGCTTAGGGACCATAAATGCTAACATGATGCTAAAATCTGTTTAATAACAATGAAACTTTTATAATTTTTATGAGGAATTATATGAAAACTTCAGTAAGTTGCAGTGTTCAGAAAAGCATAGTTATGGTCTAGTTCTTTAATCTTTAAGTAATCTGCTGTGTTCAACCATGTAGTTTTGATATTTAGTAATTTTTAATATGTTCTCTGCTTGAGTTCTGGGAACATAATTATGTAGAATTTGACAGGGTCTTAAGTGAAATATGCTATTTTCTTTTAATGCAAATAATGGGGTTTATCCTGCATACAAGATTTATAGAACTTAGTGTCATTTGAGCATAGGAAGTAAAGAATGGAATGGATTCATTATACATCAGTCATCTGCTCCTTCTTTAACCAAGCAAATGCATTTTCAAGGCAGCCTGGCAAGATTAAGGTATTCTGGAAGAGAATAAAGCTTAACTTGGTTATTCCTGTCCCCATGCTTCTCAGACTGGAACATGCAGAACATCTTGGTGTGTCAGTTTTACTCAAAGACTTGGGGTGAAAGGATACATTGTGATGTTAAAAGAGACATTCATATGAAATATAATATGAAATCTTACCTGAATTTTTAAGGTAAAAACAAGAGACTTCAAGTAAATAGCAAGGTTGTTAAAGGCTATTATTCCAGGTCATATGTCCAAATCTCCTTTTCTCTCCTGCTACCTTTTTTCGTATCTACATAATAAGCCAATTAACTTCAAATACTAGATCCTAGGATTCTGTTGTGATACGGGATCCGTTAAGTAAGCTCTTTTTAGGAGCTGTCATCCCTTGGGTATGCCAGTCATGTACAAAATTTTTCAAAAACCGTGTATGTGAAGATTTTATTTCAAATCATTTATATTCATTGATAGTCATTTTCTTCTCCATGACTAGAATGGTGTTTGAAAATGCACGTTGTTAGGGTGCTGATATTTATGCCTATAATAGTACCTATGGAAGATAATTTCATGCCTTAAATTATAAGCTGTATAATATTGGAGCTACATTAAATGAACCTTTGAAAAATTGTTTCTACTATATCTGTATTTAAATGAAAAATGAATTTAATTTACTAAATAAAGACACGTGACATAGATTCCTTTAAATAATAGGCTGTTTAGCATTATAAAAAATAATCAGCTGAGGTATCTGACATTCTAAGAAATTAGCCATTAAAAATATTTTAATATCTTAAAGAATACCTTAGTATGACAGTTGTTGGTTCATTCTCTGTGGTTGATCTGAGACAGTCCTGTTTTAAACTTAATACTGAAAAACAAATAGCAGTTGTACAAGGTCATAGGTCATGATTATTTGATTAATACCATGAATGAGTCAAATATAGTGATAGAAATTTGAAATGATGACATTTTACATTTAAAATGCAGTTGTAAATCCTTAGAAGAGAGGCACAATAAAGGATAATATACCATTGATGTGTACTCAGTTTAATAATACAGTATTTATTATGTGTGCCAGTGGTTAAATTTTTAAATGTTAATATGGGGATTTTATCTTGATTTTTGATAAGGTAAAGTTAGATGGTCCAGAGAAGGAAACACCAAATCAGAAGAGCAGCAGTGACCTTCAGATTAAAAATGAAGATGAAGGCACAAAGGCATGGACGCCATCAGGTTTAAGGGGACGTGCTGATCCCAACTTGAATGCTATAAAAATTGAAAAGTTATCTGATGATGAAGAAGTAGACATCACAGATGAGGCAGATGACTTGACTTCTCAAGCTCCCCAAAAGAATCCTAGCAATGATGTCTTATTAAACATTCCTAATAATAAAAGTCATGAAACCAGTCAAGGGGAATTTATTGCTTTCAACCAGGAAGATTCTGTATCTCAATCTTCCAAGGAGTATTTTCAGAATATAAAGCAGGGAGAGATGGAAGCACTTTCAAGCTCAGGAAGTAAATTTTGGACTGAAAAACAGAGCATTAGTGACAAAAAATCAGTTGAGTTAAATGATCAGAAATGTAATAAACTGATGAAAAACTCTGAAAAACATGATGGAAATGGAATAATAGATGCTGCCAGGCCATTGCCTTCTCCAGAGCCTTGTGAAGTTCAGAAAGACTTCAGTGATACTGAAGTGCTTTTTCATTCTTCCTGTCAAATGGAGGAGAGCCATGAGGAAGAAGAGCTGAAGCCACCGGAACAAGAAGTAGAAATAGATAGAAATAACATTCAAGAAGAAGAAAAACAAGCAATTCCTGAGTTTTTTGAGGGGCGCCAAGCTAAAACACCAGAACGCTATTTGAAAATTAGGAATTACATTTTGGATCAGTGGTAAGGAAGAATTATATTTTAGATACTGTTGTAAAACTTACGATGCTCTAGAGTATTTTAATTAGGCCTATGCAGAATTTAGTGTTTTACATTGCTAGTGATGCAGAGAGCTTGAATATACGAACATATTTTAATAGGCAAGACTTAAAATTTCTCACAGTGAAATTTTCTTTGGAAGCTTTGGTAAATACTGTTATCTCTAGCTATCTCAGCCCATCTGTCTATTCATTAAGAGTATTTGCTCCTGGATTAAAAGGATAATTTGCTTTAAGAATAAGTTTCTTAGAACAGTGTTAGGAAGATACAGAAAACACTACTGTACTGGAAAAGGGTGAGAATGTCTTTCCTAGTTTATCATGTAGTTGTAAGTATAAAAAGAAAATTTTGGTGACAGAAGGGTATTTTCTGTCATTAAATGTGGCTAAATTACAGAAACCATTCTAAATTGCCATAAATGCTTTCTTTCAGCTTTGATCTTATAACAATGTGTTAATAATCCCTTCATCCAGCTTCAGAATGCAGGAATTTTCTGATATGTGAAGTTTATCTTGTAAATTGTCAAAATTTGAATTATTTAGCATTGGATAGGGCACAAACCAAAAAACTTCCCACCTTATTAGCCTAAGTGCTCTGCAGATAATTTGAATTTTTCATAACAGTTTAATTAAGACATTATCAAACATTCATAATTGTTGTTACTGCTTCAGGAGATACTGAATTGTGTAGGCCCATCTTTACAGAGGACTTTTGCTGTAACTTAGGAAGATTGCCAAAGCAAAGCAAATAACCAGGCTTATTACAGCAGTAACCTTCATTGCCCACACAATATTAATTTGGCTTTTAAAGATAGCTCTATTCTAAATGAAGGACTTTTGTTCTTGTTCTTGACTGATGATTGAGATGGCTAAAAGTAAAATTTCTGGGTAAGGGTGATATCAAATGAATAATTATAAGGAACAGCTGATAGTTGCATAGTGCTTTACAGTTTACGGAAAGCTTTTCTATGTTGTTTGATTCCTCACAACAGTCCTGTAAAATAGGCAGGTGGTATTTTCTGTGTTTGATAGATTCTGCGGTCAGGAGAGGTTTAGGAGGCTGCCTTTAATTACACAACCAGCTACTGACAGAAGGACCTAGGTGGAGGTCTCGACTCTGTCCATCACTCTCTCCATTATTTCACATTGCCTGATTCATTCACACTGTTGAAGAAGACCAATCAAATTAGATCTCTATGGGTATCTAATTTTGTTTTTGGAAATAAAAGGATGAATATCCAAAGTTGAAGGACTACAAAATAATATCTCAAAAATTTTTATCTGTATGAATCATCAATGAGTGACCTATTGGTGCTTTAATTAATTTCACTTATTTGAATTTTAGATTCTCAATAAGGCAGAATAACTTATATTGATGATATAAATTATATGGCAGTAGTTTCCTAATGACATTTGCCTTAGTTCATAAAACCAGTTAAATGTTGTTTCAATATAGTGATTTAGCAAAACAGTATGAAAGCAGAAAGAAATGTTTTGAACAGGAACTCAAAAACTATTCTCTTCAGAAATAGAAGAGGGGACTGGAGGTGGTGTTAAAAAAAAAAAAAAAAAGAGTAGAAGAGTAAAGTTTTAAAATAAAAAAGACCTGCTAGATTTGTTTGTAGCTAAAAGATCCTTTCCATAAAAACACATGCAACTGACTCCCTGTTTAGGGGTATGTTTTATTAGGTTAGGAACCAATACTATTATTGAATGTCTACCAAATGTATTTAAATGTATTTAAATCATCTCCAGTCCTCTTGACAACCTTGTCCTCCTTTTACAGATGAGAAAAATGAGGTTCAGAGAGGAAAAGGAACTTGTTCCAGGTCACATTAGGGGAAGGTGATTTCAGGGTCTTGCAGTCTTGACTCCTTATTTTCACACTCCATCTCAGGTCCTTCACCCAGACTTTTCACTCTGCCTTGGATGCTCCCCCCGCTCTGCCCCCCAGATCTTGATGAACTGTGCTTCGTCCTCTCCTTCAGGTCTGCTCCAGGGAAATTAGAGGACTTCACTGACCACCCTATCTAAAATAGCTCACATCTCTGCTTCCTACTCTCTTACTCTGTATTTAATTAATCTTCATAGAACTTATTACTACTGAAAATATTGTTTTTATTTGTGTATTGTCTCCTTCCTCTCTCCTCCTTCCCCATGATAATACAGGCTTCACATGGGCAGATTTTTGTCTGTTTTATTCATTGTTACACCCCTAGTGCTTAGGGCAGTGCTTGTTCTAAGCAAATACAGAGGCACTCTATTTGTTAAGGGGAAAAGACGGTGCAAATGAAACATGAATAGGTATCTTTAGAGGCCTTACCGTTTTTTTTTTTAAGATTTTATTTACTTATTAGAGAGTGCGCACACAAGTGAAGGGAGAGGCAGAGGACAGAGGGAGAAGCAAGACTCCCTGCTGAGTGGGGGGCCCAACGTGGGGCTCCATCCCAGGACCCTGGGGTCGTGAGCTGAAGGCAGATGCCTAACTGACTGAGCCACCCAGGTGCCCCTAGAGGCCTTTACGTTTGTTCAGCATCATGCTAGTGCTGAGCTCTCTTTAAAGACTTTTGATTTGGGTAATCTTTAATTAAATCAGTACAGTTTTTAGATTCCTGTAAATTTTTGGTAGCTGGTTACACTGTGCTTATTCCTGTTCTCTTGGCTTAATTTGTGCAGTTTGTTTCCTTCACACTGAAGTTGAAGTGAAAAAACACTGAAACCTCAACTTTTCAGTGGAATTTCTGTTTTTTTCCCCCTTAGATTATATTTATTTATTTTAGAGAGCGCATGCGAGTGGGGGAAGGGGCGGAGGCCGAGGGCGAGAATCCCAAGCTGACCCCCCACTGAGCACCGGCCAGTGTGAGACTCAGTCTCACAACCTTGAGATCTTGGTGACCTGAGCGGAAACCAGGAGTCCAATGCTTAACCGACTGAGCCACCCAGGTGCCCCTCCAACATCACGAGTTACTTTTTGCCTTCCCTGAATGTAGAATTAATGTTTTTAAATTTGGTTTCTGCTTAGACAGGCCTTCCCTGAATACCCTGTCTAAAATAGTCTGCACCTAGTTCTCTCACTCTATCCCCTATTCTTTTTCTTCCTAGCACTTGTTGCTACCTGCCATTATAATATATATTACTTACTTTATGTATATATAATATATATTATTCATTATATGTATTCTATCAGCATGTAAGGTCAGGAACTTTATATTTATCTCTGGATCCTTAGTGCCTAAAACAGTGCCTGGTGTGTAGGATGCAAAATAAATGTTTGTAAAATAAAGATTAAATAAATACCTGTTATATATATGAATACTTGGTTTATAACGTCCGTGTGTAAATCTTGACTTTAACTTCCATAAATAAGTACTTTAATCCCCGTGACTTGTTTCCTCATCTCTAAAGTAAGAATAATAAAAGCTACTTTGTAGAGTTATGAGGACTAAGGTTATATAACTATTAGTACTGGCATAAGTGTTCAGTAATTGTTTGCTACTATTAGTAAGTTCTCCGTTACTCTTAACCTATATCTACTGTGGCACAATAAGTATATTCGGTAAATATATGTTTTATTGTGTAAACCTTTTAATTTTTTCATAGTCTTTGGACATTTCTTGATCCCTTTGAAATCCCCTGTAATATCTATTTCTGTTTTCCATGGAGAGTAAGCACTTGATATTTATTGGTGTAATGTTTAAAAACCAATAAACTTTTAAGGATTTGTAAGGTAGCTTATAATTAAAAGATACTGTCCAGCAAAATAAAAGTAGATGAACCTAAGTAATATATTAAAAAAATAAGAAAAGCCTAATACTAAATACTTTAGATATATTATCAGAGTGCCCTTTTTATTCAAAGATTGAGGCTTGAATTTGAATCTGTAGACAAAGCTTCTAACCTTAAAATCCTGGAATAACTGGAATCTATTACATTTCATATGGGAAAGAAATAATACTTAGTAACAATCACATTATACTCAGAAGTTATTGTATCATTTAAAGATATTTAAAATTTGGGTTTTATGTATTAGCATTGTTTTTATTACACATTTACAGATTGAGGGGGGTAAATTTTTAAGATATTTCAAATATTAAAAGTTTTCCCCAGAAATCTTTTTTTTCATGTTTTTATTTATCCAAAATAACTGTACTTCCATCTCTTAATTAGGGAGATATGCAAACCGAAATACTTAAATAAGACCTCAGTACGTCCTGGCCTGAAGAACTGTGGGGATGTTAATTGTATTGGACGGATTCATACATACCTCGAGTTGATAGGAGCAATCAATTTTGGATGTGGTAAAAATAAAAACCCAACAACATCTTTTACTCAACATTTTTTATCTTTAGACCACCCATTAACTTCGATGGTTAGAATTCAAGCAGATTTTAGTATAGATAGAGAACTCAGGAAGATGCTGTGACATTATGAAATAAATGTATTATTGAGGTTTGTTTTTTTTTAAAAAACAGATTTCTGTTGATTAAACTATATTTTCCTGTAACCTACAGTGAAAATTGGTGGTATGAAAGGAAAAAATATTCAGTCTAAGTAGTAGAAATAATTTAACAGTGCTGCTCTTTGTCAAGTAAAAGTAAAGTCATTTTAAGAAAAATCTCATAATAGCCCATTTAATTTGCAAAATCTGTATTAATCCTAGAAATACTGTCTAGCAGTGTTTAAATAAAGGAAATAATTTATGAGCCCCTACACTTAAATGTAATAAAAGTGCCAAAATATTTTTCATGGAAGAAAGTTTCTTTCACCCTAGTTTTTCTCAAATTTAAAGTCAATGAATATGCATGATTATAAATGTATTCTTCACTTCTATTGAATTAACGTGACACAAACGTTTTGAAGAAAGATAATGACAATAGTTGCAAAGTGATAAGGTAATTAGAACTTTGTAACCCATGGTTTCAGAGGAGTATATTCTATATTGTATGTGTATGAGAAGACAGCTAACCAGGAAGTTTCCTTTCAGAGATTATTTCATAGAGAGAGAGAATTCATAGTCTGCCCTGCGGTCTGTCCTTCATTTCAGTGTCTTTGTTTCCCCAAGCACTGTATATGGGACTGACTGGTCAAGAAAGCTAAGGTGTCACAGCTTACTCAGCCACAAAAGAAAAATCATGTTTTCAGTATTAGATCTTTGAATTCAGCAAAGTGGCCTTAGCATTCATTTAATTAGAAATTAAATTACCCATCTCATGAATACCCCATTTTACTGGGATTTCCTTAAGGGTCTTTTACGTGAGAACTTCCAAGTGATTATAGAGTAAGATAGATGCTTAGGTGTAACAGAACTTAGACATTGGCTTACAACTTACAGTCAGTGTAGATGTGTCTTCCTAGTTAAGAAATGAGTTTCAGAAAGTAATAGAATGTTTTGTTTTTCCTGAATTCCAATAGAACAGGCTGTGTACAACAGGCCACAACCGGTTGACAAAGGACGAGTCAGAGACCGAAAAGCTACAGGGGAAGCATACCAGCTTGCACGGCGCCTACAGTCTGCGGTAAGCAGCCGCCCTCGCCAACACAGGGCTCCAAAGTGCTCCTTGCCCTGTTAAGTGAGGTGTGCTTCCTTCTCGCCAGCTGCTTAACAAGTGGACATTTAGTGGACGAACATGTTTTCTCATGTATTTCACCTTAGCCGTTCACTTTCCTGGTTCCCATTCAGTTCCACATTAGTTTTAAAAGTCAAAAACCAAAAAAACCTCACAGGTCACTGGCCGACTTGACACAGAAGCATTGTGCTTTGCTAGCGTGGTCTTAGACTGCTGGTTCTGGTTTCTGTATCTAGTGTGTCTTTTACAACCATATAGTTAAACTCTTTTTTTCCTCCTCGGTTACTTTGTTTGTTTAAAAGTCTTACCTTTGAGAGTCAGCTTTTTGGAATAGCTATCCAAACTATTGTAACCTTTCTTTGTTAATTCTTGAGGTTAGTGAGTTTTACAATTTCTTACAAATCATGAGTCTTATTTTATTTTTTTAAAGATTTTATTTATTTATTTGGCAGAGAGAGACACAGCGAGAGAGGGAACACAAGCAGGGGGAGTGGGAGAGAGAGAAGCAGGCCTCCCGTGGAGCCCGGAGCCCGACGCGGGGTTCGATCCCAGAACTCTGGGATCATGACCTGAGCAGAAGGCAAACGCTTAACAACTGAGCCACCCAGGCACCCCACCTGAGTCTTATTTTAAAAATGGGTAATCCTACAAGTCCTCTAAAAGGCAGAGTCATATTGGGTTCTTGTTGGTTTTACTAATAAAATAGGTTAAATTGGTAATAGGTGAGGCAAATGAAGAAAAGTGCCGATAATAGAGTGGGAATTTTTCTCAGAGTATTTAGGCCGTAAACCATTTCTACCTAGATTTACTGTAGTAAAAAACGATGTTTTTAGATATAGTTGCTGGAAAAAGGGTGCTTTTTATATGCTGGCTTCTGAGCCAGTGCATTTTAAAGGCTTCAGTATTGAGGTTTACAAAACTGGGTATTAGTAATTCAACTGACTTTGTACTTTTTTATTAATTGTGTCCACTAGGTAGTCTTTCCCTTTCTAAGGCTGAGAAATAATTAATTTGCTTCTAGTTTTCAATAACCTGCCTCTTGCTGTGGGTTCTTGCAAGTTTTCTACACAAGTGGTTGAAAGGGAAGTCATTTTCTTGGTGGTTCTTTTGGTCTTAAAAATATCTTTTGTCCTAGTGTTTAACTCGTAAAGGTGAAGAGAAATTAAACTTCAAGAAGAAATCCAAGTAAAATTCAGGAAATCATTACTGATTTATTTTTGAGCAGAGTGCCATTAAAGATAAATTAATAAAATAAAATTTAGTCAGGCATTGCTGATCAGAGATTATATTTTAATGAAGAAATTAACTGATTTTTAGAAAAATATCATTTTGGTGTTGTATATTAATGTGCTGTGATTTCTTCAAGTTAACCTTATTACCTTTTGCTTTATTTTAATCTTACCCCAGCGCACAAGGAGACGTAGGGTCCGAGACCCATGGGGAAATTGGTGCGATGCAAAAGACTTAGAAGGACAAACCTTTGAGGTAACTTTGATCTTTGCAAATAGCTCATTAGTGAAAGTTGTTCTGTCAGTTATATTTGTATATCTTTAATGCCACCTGTATTACACTCGTTTGTGTTGGTGTGTGTGTGTGTGTATCCTTCCCATGTTAATTTGCTTGTCTAGAAGTCACCAATAAATAACAAAATAAAGGCATCGGTACACTTAACTAGGAGTTTGATTAATTTTCTGTATTTTAATTATCTACCTCTGCATTCTGGTCTCTAGCTCAAGAATAATCTGCCAATGTGCCAGGAAGTTGGTATGCCTAATTCATTTCAATAAACATTTATAGAATGATGTTCTGATAGACCATTTAAAATATTGTCCCACACATTAGACATAAATTGAATTACAAATATTAAAATATTTCTACTAATAGAAACTGGTTCTAAAAAGAAACATAGGCAATGAATATGTGTGTGTGTGTGTATTCTGTTTGTGAACAACTAGTGCAGTAGAATGGAAAGAATGTGTGAATGGGTGCTTACTGGTTTTGTTACCTTGAACAGTTTCTTGACCTCACTAAAATTCAGATTTTTATCTGTAGAGTGTGGGTAATATCTCTCTCAAAGAATTGTTGTGAGAATTAAGTGAAGTAAACAGGATAAAATGTGTGGAGGTCCTAGTACTAGGCACTTAATAAGACTTGCATATACCAATTAGTAAATGTTACTTTTCCCCATGGGTTTCAGTGCCAAAAAAAAAAAAATGTTCTCTTTTTCTCTTCCCCATTCCCTGTCCCCAACCTTACACCTGAGCACCAGTCTAGGTACAACATTAGTTAATGCCTGGTTTCTGCCTAGAAGGAACTTAATTTCTAGTAGGAAAGATGACCTGTGATAAGTTCCATAAGATTGGTCTTAAGAAATGTCAGGTCTTCCCCAAAGGTTGTGATTAGAGGAGGTATCACAGAAAATGTGATATTTCATCTGTGACATAAAGGATTAGCCAGGAGAATTAGTACAGGAGGGCATCCCAGGCTAAGGGAGTGGCATAAACAAAGGTACAGATGGGGAAAAATACCAGACATATTCTGGAAAAGATGCATAGTTCATTTGGACTAGAGTATAAGAGTGGTAGTAGAAGTGGGATGAAAGATGTGTTCTGTACTTACTATTATCAGGGTTTTATAAACATTAATCAAATCAGTCATCACAATAACACCGGGACATTGTTGTTATTACTACTTGTGTTCCCATGTTAAAGGTAAGAAACTAAAGCACAGAAAGCTTCAGTAACTTGGCCAGGGTCGTCACCCAGTAAGTAGCAGAGCCAGGCATTCTATCTCCAGAATCTGTGCTCTTTATCATTATGTTGCCTTGTCTCCTGGTTGGGAAAGAAAACTCTTAACACAGTAGGACTTGGTGACTAGAAATGGGGAATAAGTAAGAGGAGGGACTCAGGTGATTCTGAAGTTTTTGAAACTGGGTGACTGGTGCCATTAATTGAAATAGGCAAAACAAGAGAAGGAATAAATTTTAAGCTTGGTGTGGCTGTAGATTTTGGAACAATTTTTTTATATATTATCCAGCATTTCAGTTTGTTAGTAGAAAGAAGGAGACCCACATCTACATCAACATAGTCAATCTCATTCTCACATGCCTTTAAATATGGTTTAAAGAGTTGTTTTTGTTTTAATTCTGCCTCTCAGTGGCTGATGGACTCTGATCAACCTGTTTTATGTTTTAGCATCTCTCTGCTGAGGAATTGGCAAGAAGAAAAGAGGAAAAATGTAAACCTGTTAAATCTTCAAAAGTACCAAGACCAACAAAAAGGTATAGTGTTATATAACTATAATTTTTTTAATTTATCACAAATGATTAGGAAATGAATGGAAAAAAAAATCTGATATAACATTATATTCATATTAAGTTGAAAAATACTAAAATTCTTGAATTTTCTATTTCACTGATTATCAATTTGGAAGACCCTGAGCAAAAGTTTTAAATTTATTTGGGTTTAGTGATCATAGGATCCAACATATGCTGTAAAGGGGCCTTAATTATGACAGGTAGTCATTCAACTCCTTAGACATTATAAACAGATAACCTCTTGAAATGACTAGTTCTTTCTTTAGTTGGTGCGGATTTTTAGCAAGGTTTCTTGTTTTTGAATAATCCACTAAGTAAGTTAAATGTCTTGATTTTCTAGACCCTTATTTTCTGCAGATTTTCTAGACCCTTATTTTCTGCAGATGCCCCATTGAATAGACTATAGTTTGTCAGTGTCCCTTTTAAAACAAGATATCTAGGAATGAAAAAAAAAAAAAAGATATCTAGGAATGGCACTAAGTCATATTCAGTGGAAAGAGCCCTGATGCTTAAACAGGGGTATGTCCCCAGGTAAGTTACATAAGGCCTTAAGCCTTCAGTCCTCATTTATAAAATAGTAACTATAATAGCTAACACTGTTAGCTAAATTTTAAGCACTTCATGTATATTAACTCATTTAATCCACATAACTACCCTATGCAGTAAATATCATTCCCATTTTATAGGTGAGGAAACTGAGGCACAAAGAGCTTAAGCACCTTGCCCATGCTTGTCAGTGGCGAAGCTGTGATTTAAATCCAGGCAGTTAGGTTTAAGAATCCATACTGCTAACCATTACATTATGTATCACTTCTATAAAATAAAAATTAAAAACTTACAGTTGTTGTGAGAGTAAGTTAAATGAGATAAACTATGTAAAAAAGATAGTCATCCCTAAGCTAGGACTCCTCATCTAAATGTAAGACATATTTATTGTGATTTCCAGGTCCTTGTTCCAGTTTGTCAGGATCTTTCTGAATCCAGATCCACTTTCTCAATTAGCCTTCATAGCTTTGAATCATCAACATTTCAATAAGCTTAACCTCTTCTGTCATTGACCACTGATTAAAATGTTTAAATGAGATACATGTAAGCCTCAGACCTCATTGTCCAATCAGCTGTACATTGCTACAAAAACACCTGTGGTTTTTCATCTTATGCAGAAGAAAAATCTTAGCAGGTGTCTTGCTTTTATTCAGATAGATTATATTTGAATCTTTATGAGTCTGCTAGTTTCTAGCAGATCCGTCATATCAGAAATGAAATTTAGATTTACTTATCATGACTTATATTTTTGTAGATCCATTATTATTATTCTTAATAGTCACCTCTTCACTTGCTGAAGGCTCAAAATCACCTGTTTAATAATCTTTTCCATGATTTTTCCAATATTTACATCTAATTTCTCTGCTTCTAAAGTCTGCTTTTTTTTGTGTTTTGAAAACAAGCCCAGGGCGCCTGGGTGGCAGGTCATGATCTCAGGTCATGAGATCGAGCCCTGGGTTGGAGCCCCACACTGGGCTTCGTGCTGGGCTTGGAGCCTGCTTGGGATTCTCCCCTCCACCGCTCACACATGCATACATTCTCTCTCTCTCTCAAAAAATAAAATGAAAACAAGCCATTGCAATAATTGCCTATTCATAGTCCTCTACTAATTTTTCCATTCTGTACAGTTCCTCCAACAAGATCAGTGGGGTTTCACATCATGTTTCTTCAGTGCTCTGGGATGCATACACTGTCTTTCTATTCTTTTTATTCAGTTGAAGCACTTTTTTATTTGAGGATCTTTCCCCTTCATTCAACAAATATTTCTGAATGTTTGTTATGTATCAGGCACTGTTCTAGGCACTTGGGATGCAAAGTGTCTGACTTTTGGCACTAACAGTCTCTGGTAGAATAGGAACTGAATAGTCCTGCTGTTTTCCAGTCCTATTAACATGAATATATTCCTTGTTTGTTTGGGTTTTTTCTTTCTCTGAACATAGCCTAAAAAAACCTTATTAATCATTCTCAATATCGTTCTCAAACCTCAGTTCTTCACTGGTAAAAGCCTTTCTAACATTTCTCTCAGATTTATACGTGCTTTTGTATTCTACCCTTGCTTATGTGCCCCTCTTTTTGTCCTTTTTTTTTTAACTCTTTCATTTTAAAATATGTTTGTCATAGAGCTTTTTATATACATTAATTTCTTTAGCAGAACTGCTTCTTGTTTATTCATTCAGCAAAAATTTATTGAGTACCTACTATGCTGATATGGTACTTACAAGTGTTTTTGAGAAACTTTCCTCTTTCTTGAACTTTCTTACCCATGTCATGTCAGGGAGTTGGTTACATTTCCTTCAAACTTTTTGAAACCTGCTTTCAATGTAGGACACATGTGTGGGTACTTATAATGATTGTTCTTCTCTTTGGGTGTTAAAAGAAATTAAGGCAACAGAATTACTTTCTCTCAAAGGTCCTGTCATTTCCCATCTTTTACTGAGTCCAAAAAAACAGTGCTTCTTTCAAAAGGGTTGTATGGAATGTCCTTAAGAAATTCTCCTAGCTTAGTATTTTTCTGAGAATTGGGGTTTAGATTATTGATGTGTGTTTTCTAATTTAAATGAATGTGATTTTCCTGATCTTGTTATTGAGATTATATTAGAAATGACTTTTTTTTCTTTTCCAGCTCATTTGATCCCTTCCAACTGATACCTTGTAATTTTTTCAGTGAAGAAAAGCAGGTACTATTTATGCATCAGTGAATGGCCATAAATAATGCCCCCCTGTCAGACATGAAGTGTTTCTTTTTCTGTGTGTGCAAGGCATATATATATATATATATATATATATACACACACACACGAAAGATTGGACAAGGCAAGGTACATTAAGGGTCAAATGAATGATACAGATGGGAAATGAAAGAGCATTTCTCCATGCTAGGATTTTAAATGATAATATTTTAAAAATCTCTGGTTTGCGCTGAGCCTTGGTTGGTGGTGAGAACTTGGTGTGACATGTGAAGGAGGAAAGGGTGGACATTCCAGTGAGGAAGAACAAAATCTCTATTTTTATGCTCCCCCATTTTTTTTTTTTTTATATTTCAGGAGCCATTTCAGGTGAAAGTGGCTTCAGAAGCACTTTTAATAATGGATTTGGTAAGGATAATCTATTGTGCTTACTTACTCTGATTTCTATTCTTGTGTATTTTTATTGCAGGCTTAAGAGAGAGTATGGAAGACGTGTATTTTGGATCTTAACTATCCTCTTTTACAAGGAATCTAAAAATAACTCTTTTCTTTTGGAGAAAAGCCAAACAATTGCATGTTTCCATATTTTAGAGAAAATAAATTAATGTGAGTTTTGCAGACTGTTTATCATCATTAACCCTATATTCATTTCCTGGTATCCTTTGTCTGCTGCCTTCTAGATAACTGCAACAAAGCACAACTCCTACAATTTGGAGGCTCCTTGTTTGCACTAAATTCCAGAGACCTCCAATAGTTGTATCTGTTTAGGGTGTTTTTCTATTATATCCATATGATACCTTTCCTGAGTAAGGCAAACAAATGGTATCTTCATTTTGTAAATTTAAAAATACCAGTGAATGTTTGGTTCAAAGCTTCTCAGCTGGCAGTGAAGATAAATCTGAAATCCTAAATTTCTTTGCACTGAGCCTAGCATCTGATTCCTCTACTATGCTACTTTATTTTAGAAAAGCATAGTTACCGTACTTATAAATGACTCTCGTGTGATAAGTGAGTTTTATTCTGATTTTTTTTATCAGATGGATTTGTATGTTTGGGCTAAGTCTATTTTGTATTTCTTTTTAGCATGCTCATGTTTCTATGGCAGAAGTGATTGGTCTATTAGGAGGAAGATACTCAGAAGTTGATAAGATAGTTGAAGTAAGTTCTCGCCTTTAAAAAATTTTTTTAATTATTTAGTACTGCTGCCATACCAAATGTTTTTATAGATTTCAGTGGATATAATTAAAATACAGACTTTTACCCGTGATATAAATGAGACTATGCAAATGTAGGTTAGTTATTCCCCGGAGTAAACTAGCATTCTGTATATTGAGCACCAGTTTCCTTTTACCATCAAGAAGGAGGGAGCACTGCCAGCCAGGCCTCCTCATTGCCTTCACCAGTAAAAAGCTACAACTACTTTAAAAGGCCAGGAAACATGCACCTACCCTATAGTTGAAACTTGGCGTGCGTCACTCTGTTGCAATTATTATCATAAATAATGGGAGTCATTGGAAGACTGTGTTTGTACAGAGATATTATATGGGCTAACTTGGAGAACTAAAAATTATTATGGCCTTGTTTGAGTAGCAAAATGGATTCTGAGTTCCTATATACAATTGCACTTTTAGAGTGTCATTCATTGCAAGTTAAGGGCTGCTTGTGATACTGTCAAGTACTTTCATTGGCTTAAAAAAGTTTCTGTAGCTACGTATGAAGAACTAAAACTTTAAGTAATAGAATTAACAGAATTTCATTGTAACCGTATAAGGATTAATCTTTTATAGGTCTGTGCAGCAGAGCCATGTAACAGTCTGAGTACAGGACTGCAGTGTGAGATGGATCCTGTCTCACAAACACAGGCCTCAGAGACCTTGGCTGTGAGAGGCTATAGTGTTATTGGTTGGTATCATTCTCATCCCGCCTTTGATCCAAATCCTTCCTTAAGAGATATTGACACTCAAGCCAAATACCAGGTGGGCTTCTAGGTCTTATGTGTATGTTGTGTGTAAATAATTGTACTTTTTCTCCTCCTTCATTGCTTTCTATTAAATAAGTGTATTTTTAACATTTCTAGCAAAGTATTGCATTTCTAATATTATTTACATCTGGAGTTTTGAAATGACTGCATTTTTTCTGATCGCAAGAGTAATACGTGTTTATTTAAATATTTGGGAGAACGGCTATTTGTTTAGTTCAGACAAACCATCTAAGTAACAGTGATACTGGGGAGCTCAGTCGATTAAGTGTCTGGCTCTTGATTTTTGCTCAGGTAATGATCTGAGGGTCCTCAGATGAGCCCTGCATCAGGCTCTGCACTCATCGTGGAGTCTGCTTGGGATTCTTTTCCTCTTTCTCTCCTTTCCCCTCAACACCTCCCCCTGCTCAAGCTCTCTCTCTCTCTCTCTAAAAAAATCTTCAAAAAAAAAATTGATGGGAACAACTAGGATACGGACTGGCTAGGGTAGGGACCGGGTATGAGCGAAATAATCAGAACCAGTGTATTTTACATCTCTGGGAAAAACGAAGTTTTGTTTTATTCTAACAGTTTATGTTAAATAGATGAATGTTTTTGCTGTCAACAGCTGTTAACAAATTATTACCATATTGATAAAGATTATAGCTGAAGCTTAGTGAAAGTAATTTGTAAACATGTTCATGGCAAATAAAGATTTTGGAGGCCAGGTGATGACCCTTAAAAAGGGTCATTTCTGGTTGGGTTGAGCACGTTTTGGCCTAAAAAATTTAGAGTGTGGAATGATACATATTTCATTTAGTTTAGTGTGGAATGATACATATTTCATTCATCCACAGTTTGGATGTGAAGTTTTTAACACCCTTTTGTTCCTTTTTCCCGAACCATTAGGTGTTAAGATGTTGGTGTGGGTAAATACTGATTTTTAAATTTATGCAGTTGAGACTAATAATATTTTTCTTTTAATTGTAGAGTTACTTCTCCAGAGGCGGTGCAAAGTTCATTGGAATGATTGTTAGTCCTTATAATCAGAGCAATCCTTTACCTTATTCCCAGATTACCTGCCTGGTTATAAGTGATGAAATTAGCTCAGATGGCTCTTACCGTAAGTTTTCAACAAAAACAACTTCACCTGATTTCTGCCATCATTTCTTTGAATCTTACATACCAGAGAATTTATAATTATGTGAAACTGTGTGATGGAGAAGGTGGTACCCTCAACTAGGGATCACTGTTTGCACACCATGTAGTGCAGCCATCCCCTTCCCTGCAGTGCTGTCCTTCTAGATTCAAGCCCCTACTGTGCTACCATGGCCACTGGGCAAAAGGATTACAACGTGGAGAAAAGCTTGGGCCGAGCAATGTCCATGTTAAGTACAGGCCTACCTCCGAGATATTGCAGGTTTGGTTCCATATCGTAAATATCACAATATTTAGTGATACTTAAATAGTGATAAATAGTGATATTTAAATTCATCTAGTCAGATGAATTTTTTGGTTTCCCAGTGTATATAAAAGTTATGTTTACTCTGTACTATGGTTAAAAAATACTTTTGCTAAAAAATGCTAACCATCATCTGAGCTTTCAGCGAGTCATAATCACTAATCACAAATCACCATAACAAATACAATAATAATGAAAATTTTTAAATATTGCACGAATTGTCAAAATGTGACACAGAGACACGAAGTCAGCAAATGCTATTGGAAAAATGTTGCTGTTAGACTTGTTTGACCATAGGGTTGCCACAGACCTTCAGTTTGTGAAAAACACAATAGCTGTGAAATGAAGTGCAGTAAAATGAAGCATAATAACCTGAGGTATGCCTGTATTAGAGATGCTCCTGTAAGCAAAATACACAGAGTCTCTGTTCTCAGGAAATTTCTTATGAGTGCAGACTGACTTTCTCTGCAATGGCATTCAAATGGGGAAAAAAATGAAAAATGACCACCCTGTCACCAGCTCTCCATGGCCTCTTAGTTTTAGGCTTAACAGTGCCTGACTGGTTTTCTTCTCTTAGTTTCCATTGTGTCTCAAGAAAGACTGTGCTTTCTTGGGCTTAGGCCATCATATGATTTGGTTCCTTTGGGAATTATATTCACTTGTGGTCCAGGCAGCTCTGGCTGGACAGGGAATAGATGTGGCAGACTAGGGAAGGGAGGGGAAAGGAAGAGGTGAGTGTGTACAGAAAGGAAAAGACTGGAAGAAACAGTGACATCTGTAGGATAGTTATTCTCTCTTCTCTGTCCTTACCACCACTGCTTTCATTCTCTGTCCTCTCCTGATGCTGTCACTGCACATTGTACTCTTCCCCATTAGCTCATGAGCTCCTTAAAGGTAGACGTGATACCAGATTTGTTTTTCTATCCTCGGGCTCTAGCACAAGACCTGGCATAAAGTACGTACTGAGTGAATGTTTGTTTAACAAATGAATTTTGTTTCTCATGATGTCACTTAGATCCCATCTCTTTGGTAAAGACCCTACCGTTAACCCCCATGTCATTGCAGTTAGTTGCTCTGTTCTTTGTACACCTGCAACACTTGTTTCCTGCCTTCATGGTGCTTTTGTCCTTTAATGTATCTGTTTAGCATGTCTCACTAAAATGTGAACCTCAGAGAGCCCAAACTGTCTTTGTCTGTGTAGCCCCACCAACACCTAATCAATTGCCTTGCACTTAGGAAGTGGTCAGCACTCTATTGGCTTTTATTGAATGAATAGTATTGACACTGACTTCAGTTCAAAATGCCCATTTTGAACATAGCATTTGTATACAACATTCTTTAGCCCAATATAATTTTATAAAAAGTTACAAAAGGAGTAATCACAATTAACTTACTCTCAATTTAAGTCATCTTTTTAATCTCACAGTCTGCTAGATTTAGGGAGTGAGCCTGTACTCTGATGCTATCAGAATATACAGAGAATACAGTAGCTACCAGTTACATAAGACTATTTAATTAGAATTAAATGAGATTTAAAATTCAGTTCCTAGAATTCTGCTTCTGGCCCAAAGGAAGTAACAAAGGCCTCCCTGAAAAAACCACAAAACTGGACAAACATATAAGACAATGGTGTTTAGGTCATAACATCAGGCAGTGAGGGGATATGATTGCTGAGAGACGGGAAACAAATGAGGAGAGCCCCGAATTACCCTAGCTTGCTTACCAACTTAACAGAGTTTCCAGGTATGACACGAGGAGGAGAACCCTACCCAGAGGCTGGCAGCCTGAGTTGAGGTGACAGAGAGACAGATGCAACTAAATTTGCAGGACAAGGGACCCGAGAGCAGAAAAGTACATGGAGAGCCCAACTCTGGAGATTTGCCGAAGGTACAAATTTAGTATTGCGAGAAACACAGACCAGTGCATGTGAGGAAGAAAGTACCCCAGTCAGAGGCAGGAAACACTTGAAAGGATGAGAGAGGACAGTACTGGATGCTCTCATAAGCTACTATTGGACAGCACACAGGATTCAACATTGTAATTGCAGAAAGTTCTGTTGGGCAGAGTTGTCTCCTAAGTGCCTCTTAACACTGCTTACTCGGTCTTAGTCCTAGGCTCTTCACTTTGCTCTTCTTGGAAACATTCTGGTTCAAGAATTAAAGTTTTTTAGAAACCATGGGATGCCTTGTGTTACTATACCTTTAACTTAGGTTCTCTCTGCCTGGCCTGGCCTGGCCTGTCCTTTCTTTTTTCCTGTTAGGTATATACCCAAGTTCTACCTTTAAAATGTTTCTAATGGATAAGCATTTTCTGTACTTGTATTAGTCAGGAAATATACTTAGTGACTAGTTTTCTTCTGATATTTTAATGGATTAAAAATATTCAGTACAAAAGGAAATTTGTACTGATTTTAGTGCCATTTTTTAACTTAGAAAAATATTCTTAATACCAAACAGAGCTGTATAGTTTGTGTATGTGCGTTTTCATGGTTTTCCACCAGCACGCACTGAAAATGCATTATTCTTTATTCTTATTTTTGGCTTTCATTAAGAGTAGGAGTTGCTTGCCTGGATTCAGACCCCAGCTCTGACATTTATTGGTTATTTTACCTTGGGCAGATTACTTAGCCTCTCTCATTCCCTTTTGCCACATCTGTAAAATGAGAAAAAAGTACTACCTTGCTGGGGCACCTGGGTGGCTCAGTCAGTTAAGCATCTGACTTTGGCTCAGGTCATGATCTCAGGGTCCTGGGATCGAGACCTGCGTCATCACCACCACACTCAGCAGGGAGTCTACTTATCCCTCTCCCTCTGTTCCTTCTCCTGCTCGCTCTCTCTCAAATAAATAAATAAATAAATAAAACATATTTAAAAAAAATTATCCAGGCAGCCTCTATGAATGTATAAAGAATTGATAGTCTAGGGGCGCCTGGGTGGCTCAGTTGCTGAACGTCTGCCTTGGGCTCAGGTCAT